CTTTCGATTTAGTTGCCCCTGTTTGCGGCTCCACGCGCATTGCACGCTTCACGCCGCACCGCCTCTCCCAGCTCTGAGCTCTCTCCCGCCACTGCCCTCCAAGATGATCACGTTGTTGCAGGGAGACTGCAGTGTGGGGGACCGGCAGCTGCTGACAGTCCCAAGATCTCGGGGGAAGAAAGGAAATTTGCTTGAAGAGTGTGCAGGTAAGACTACCTGCACTAACATGCTGTATAAATGTATTGCTGGGATTTGTTGTATTCCTCTACATCTGATGGTATATTGCGCTGTATATGTACCATCAGCTATAGAGGACCACAAATCCCAGCAATACATTATACACTATATGTAGTATTGCTGGGATTTGTAGTCCTCTATAGCCGGTGCCATTCTGCATTGATTGCTGTATAATTTTACATTTCACACACTTTTTTTTTGCTTCCACCGCTCCAAGCTTGAGTGACGTGATTGGCTCAGTGTTCTCTGTACAGCGCTGCGGTATATGTCAGAGCTATACTGTATACATGTATAATCATAGTGTGTGATTGTGGGGGGACATTAGAGTGTAGGCTTCTCTATACAGCACTGCGCTATATATACAGTATGTCAGAGCTATATAAATGTATAATAATAACAGTGTGACTGCCTCAGCGTGGAGGCAGTGCAGGGGGGTCGTCCTGCCAAAAGCCGTGTAAGGGGCCCCAAAATTTATGAAGGCTGCCCTGCCGGTTCACACCAAAAAGTCTGCGCTCCAGAGCATTTTTGCAGATCGCACTGGACCAGAACGCAGGCACTAATGTGCCTGCGCTCCGGGTGCGGGCGATCGCATGGCTGCGGGCGGGGGGCATGGCTGCGGTGTCATTGACTTCAATTCAGTGCCATGTCCCCTCCCACCCCTGTATGGAGGGAGACGGTCAGCTTGCGTTCCAGACTTTGTGGTGTGAACCGACACAAAAGTTGACCATACATTGCACTATTCTTCTAATTCAGCCTTCCAGCTGGACAAAAAAATATCACAGATTCCCCCATCAACGCTAAGCAGTGTGGATGGAGGAATCCCCACTGTTTCCATTGTAATCTGCAGGCAGCCATTAGGATACTCAAATGGTGCTGTCAGCTAATTGCTTGCAGGCACTGTTCACCCAAAGATTTACCAACCAGGCTCCTTTGATCTTCTGATCAAAGGATGCCGGGCAGTAGGGTTTACGGTAAGGGCTATTGTGTTGATGTTTGTGTTGAATCAAGTGTTTAGGAGTGCAGGTATGAAAGTGGAACTAAACCCAAAAAGTCAAGATTTGCTATATCATAGGGAACATGTAAAATGTGAATTGTCCCTGAAGAATCTACCTTTTGTCTGGAATTCCTTCTGAAAAATAGCAGTGTACTTTCGGGTAAAGGTTGCCTAGGCACACCTGTGCCTAAATCCTCATAGATATATATCTGCTGTGTAAGATCTGAGGCACTGCTGCCTTTGACCGCTAGCCTCAAATGATTTGGAGTGATATTTGCTGATGTCACTACTGTGCTGCTGACTGCTCTCTTTGGTGGATGCTCTAACACAAGGAAACAATACCCTGCCCTATAAGGATGTCCACCCCTCAGAAGCACAGTTTAGAACAAGGCATGGCAGGTTAGTAATGGAGAAATATTAGCTGCACAGGAATTACTGGTGACTACGCCTTTGCCCTCTGCCTGCCTTTTTGTTAGGTCAAAGTTTCAGAGTTATGTTCCACTTTTAACATATAAATGAATTCCCCATGTTGACACCTAACTCACTTGTTGTGTAGGGATCACTGGCAGTCACCTGGTAACAATTTAGCTTTGAGGGAAACAATAGCAATGGGATGGCTGGAAAAGTTGGGGGGAAAAAATCATTGCCCCATCTATCTGGAAAGGCCATTTATATTTTTTCTGTTTGAAACATTTTGGTGTGTGTTAGTTTACTGAACAGTAGCTTTCCAACTGTTTTACAAGATTTGCACATGGTTTTTTCAGCATATACAATGTTTTTATTTAGTACATTGTTTCAATCAGTACCCTGAAAATATTGATTTATACTAGGGATGCACCGATACTTTTCGAGTACCAGTGCAGATACTTGGCATTTTCATGAGAACTCCCAGGGTTGCAGCTGGGACTTGGCTCTGGCACTCCACCACTGTCCTTAAATCATTAGTCTGTATTGTTTTAGAAAAACTGTCACATGACAATAAACAAAAATGTATCAGTATTCTTACTTGTAAGTACTCAGCAAGTATCAGTACTAGTACTTGCAAAACTGGTATCTGTGCATCCCTTTATTTCTATCTATAAAAACAAAATCGTACATTAAAACAGAGATGTACAAATCCCAGGAGCTCCGTGTGCTCCTTACAAATGACAGCTGCCTCCTAATTTTCAAATTTTTCTCTAGTCTAGTCTTAGAGCTCAATAGCATCGGTACATGTACTCGTACTTGTACCGAGTACTGTACTTGGTATCTGTGCAACCCTAATTTATACAAAGTTATAATTTTTTTTTAAATGCTCTTTTAGGTTGATACATGTTTAAAAAAAAAAAGTGCGATTTAGAATGGGCTGACAATATATGGCGACAAAAGAACAAACTTGTCCGCAGCATTTTTTTAACGCAGGGCCACAATGCACAAAATAAATGGCATTGCACATCATATTGTGTGTTTTCACTACTGTGCATTGTCACAATGCATAAGTAAAAGCACACCAAGCATTTTAAGAATTTTAAAACGTGATATTTTATGCAATAAATTTGAAAACTTTTTGATTCCATTAAAAAGGACTTGGAGCAATTATTTTCCTTCATCGGCATTAATACATTACCAGATCTTTACGTTATCGTATTGCCTCACGCAGTTTTCACATCTTATATATCCATGTTTACAATTTTTTTTTATGCATATACAGTATACATCATTAAAGCAGACCTTTACACTCAAAAATCAAATTCTACAAATGCATTCCTCTATGTATGATGATTAATAATAACATAGACATGTCAGGTGTAAAATGCTGTGATTTTGAAATACTTACACTTGCAGATCATTCACTTCCTGCTTTGAAAGGGCAAAAGGACTTCAGTTTGGCAAAGCAATGCACACTGGGATTGCCTTATCAGCAGAGCATTGCTGGGAAATCTCATCTGTAATTTCATGAAATCTCAGGGAAAGGCATTTTCCTCCCCTGAGATGATGTGAATGCTCACATGTCCTAGTCACGTGTCTAGTCACATGTGCCAGAATTACAGGAAGTAATATGAGAGCTAGTAATCTGCCCTTAATAAACATGGCCACTGTCAAAAGACTGGAGAAGAAAAGGGAAATAAGGTATGCAAAGAATACAAAGCCGACAATTAGAAGTCTGTGTTTGTAGATTGTCATTACTAAACATTTCTAAAGGTGTGTCTGTTGTTATTTTAAAGATATGGCTAAAGGTCCCCTTTAAAGTACAAACTCGACCTCTTATACTTACCTGTCTGGCCGGCGGTGTGTTAAATCTTCAAACTCTCGAAGAAAAGAGGGGATAAGCTATCCTACAGACATGGAAATGTCAGATAGTAATGGTGCCAAAAGATTTAATAAACTACCCACCGGATATTTAAGTGCAAACTTTTTTTTGTACAAGTGGCTGGCTTAACCTAACAATAGGGCCACTTTGTAATGTGAGACTTTAGGTGTCTTTCCACACCTTTCTCAGATGTTCTTAAGAAAGCTCAGAGCTCTTAAGGTGCCCATACACTGCACGATTATCGTACGATAATCGTATGCGATCGGTTTTTGGTACGATAATCGAGCAGTGTGAACGGAGACGTGCGACCGTTTCTACTGTACGGTCACACGTCTTCTGTCGAACCAGCATGTTCGAAAACCAGCCGGGAATCGTACGATTCTCGGCTGGTTAGAGCGGTGCTCGGAAGACAAATGCCGAACGGGCCGGTGTGCGCACGCGCACACTGCCCGTTCAGCATTGCGGTCATCGTAAGCCCGCCCCTCAGGGGGGCGGGCTTGCGATGATCGAGAGTGCGATCTGCCTGTCCAAGATAGGCAGATCGTACGTTTTTTTAATCCCTGTACAACCATCGCAAGACTAAAGTCTTGCGATGGTTGTAGAGTGTATGGCCACCTTTACACTAATGATTTATTCCACCACCTGCCATAATCTAAGATCACCATCCAATCTTACACAGGTTGACTATCCCAAGGTACATTAGGGAGAGGGACCCAGAAGGGCCCCTGATAAATGAAGGGGTCATAGAGTAGTCACTTCATGCAATTGCTTAGCTGTATTGGAGATGTATCAGTATGAGTTTAATTGTGGTATTTTACTGATGATTAAAAACACTTATGGGGCTGTTCACTAAAGGGGGAAGTGTTTGGAGAAGGCGGGAGACGTGAGCAATCTAGGACAACATAGCTGACCTGGAAAGTGAGCTGAATTGGAGAATGTTTCCAAATCAGCTATTTTGGCCTAGATTGTTCACTTCTCCAAACTCTTAATACTTTTGTAAATAGATCTGTTAGAATAAACTATATTTTTTTCTATACATAATAGTAGACATCCCATGACATTTATTGTCTATTAAATTGTTAAAAAAATATGCTTTTCTCTGTAGTTAAAAGATTTAGATTTGAGGTAGTGCATTCATTATTTCAAAAGCACAAAAACCTGTGACTGGAAACCAAATATTAACTGGTCAGTTTTCTCTGTATGCAGATGGTTAAATGTTTCTAGTTACAGTATATGATCGTCAGAGATGATTGGAAGGCGGTTTACTTCTTTACTCTTGTTGCTTGCTACCAGGTTGTACATTAATTTATGAAGGTGGTGATTGGACTGCAGAAAGTAGTCTAATTACAGCTTGGAAAAGAGGCATTAGCTATTTCTGACTGAATATTGGCACCAGCATCAAATATTAATTTCTGTAAATATTGATGCAACTATAAATAAATGTTTGATATGCAAAAATGTTTCTGCCCCACTTGCTAGGAGGAATCTTATGAACAGTTGCAGGGATCTCGCCAGCCCTGGGTGCTTCCAAGTGACACAGACAGTGAAGGTGTGGATATACAGAAGGAAAAACGTAAGTCTACTCCATTGCTGGGAGGACCATATTTTTTACACGTTTGTTACATTTTGCAACAATGTAGCTGTATCCATGATTCTGATACAGCAACTTATGATCTCCAAAGCTTACATAAGCCAGTAAGAATCAGACACAGTCCCCTGCTGTCAACCCAGTTACATTATTTATTAAATATAGAATCTCCCACTGGGCTAAGCTTCAGTATCTTGCTAGTCAGACCCGCTAGCTCCCAAAATACCTGAACAATGCCTGCATCCAATCATATTGTTCGGGTATTTTGAGAGCCAACGGGGCCGACTAGCAAGATACTGAAGCTTGGTCCGGTGGGAGATTCCTCCATCCACACCGTTTAGCGTAGATGGAGGAATCTGTTGCACTTTTTACATCTGACCAAAGAAAATCTGCAGTTAATCTATATATGTGTGGGCAGCTTTAATCATTAAAACATATTGAAAACAGCATTACAATCGGGCAACTAGCATTTTCCGATGGACAGGCTAGCAATGACAATATACATGTTTTTCATAGAACAGGTTTCCTTTAATGATTTATAAAAAATGTAATAATTATATATTACCTCTGCTTACATGTGCTGTGATGATATCAGTCTATAGAGATCTGCCATTTTAGTCCAGACATAGATGTATATAAGATAGTTGTTGACTTATCTAGTTGATAAAAATCATGCCAGAAATGATTGCATATCTATGGATAAACTGCAGCCTCTAGAGGACACCCCTTAGCTGATTGGAGAAAATCTTAAAAATCCAGAATGTAATGAACACTGCTATTGCTTCTTCAACATAAGTTGAATCTTCTGACTTTTGATATCTCCATGAACCTGGAAATATAGAAGGGAATGCTCAGTTATGCTTTATAAATAACATACACATTAAGTGACATTTCAATAAATAAAATCAAGCTGCTTAGAGGTATAAAGGGCATGAACCTAGAGGTTCACATACCTAGATCAGCCTGCAGTCCCCACTGTTATGCTCGAGTCCCAGACCATTGCATTCAGACAAAGCTTGAGTACTTTAATGAAAAAGCTTGCTTACCCTTCATGCCTTATCCATGAATCAGCCAATGATAGCAATGGACATGGAGAAATGTGTGGGAGGCAGGGAGGAGAAGGCAAGGTATGACCAGGAAGTGTCATAGCTTTGTCCCACCAGTGTGTCTGAGTATTGAGTCATTGTGACAGGGATTGTATATGCACTTTTTACTTTTTATTACCTTTTGTTAAGTTAGACACTTTAAGACTAAATCAAAGACTGCACACCAAATAGTAAGATGTCTTGTGCTTTAGTCACTATTCCACCGGCATTCACAGGATTAACCAGGACATATTGCAGCAAAAGGTGTCCCACACCAAAGACACAAAAAAAAGTAAAAAAAAAGAACAATAGCACAGTATAAAAATTTTCAAGCCAAACAAAAACTTACTTGACTTGAGGAAAAGCTAGTGTGGGATTAAAACATTCCCATTCTTTTCAGATTTTATGCTGTGGCGCGGCTGCTGCTTTTTTGATGAGAAAATAAAAGGGCAATTTTTTACACTAGGTAGTTTTTGAAGTCATTTTGCTGCAAGAAAAAAATAAATTAAAAAAAACAGTGGCAAACATAACTGAAAAAACGTTTAGCAGATTATCTATTTCACCACATGGGTAATTGTAAGGTCACATAGTGGAGCCAAAAAGTGATCTCAATGTGAGATTAGAGAAACCTTATTGAACCCCACTGAATATTGCTGGACATTTGTCCACCTCCTCCATATTATTTCTAATACGCAATTGACTCTGAACGTTTACAAGGTTTTAGATTTCCATATATTGATACTACACTAGTCTTCTAGATTTCTGGGTCTCGCCTATTTAGTTCAAAAACAAAGAAAAAAATTGGCAAAAACCAAATGCCTGCTTAATTTTCTAACAGTAGAGAGGGAGAGGGAAACTCTGAGCTTGTTTTTATTGCTGTTTTTACATTTTGCCCTGGTGATAACCATACCCCCATTTCTTTTATAACCATCACTGCGACAGAAAGGAAAGGAAATTCTTCCCAATGGGGAAACAGACCTTAAATAAAACCCTAACAATTAGGACTGCGGAAATTAACAATTCCGCGATTAATCGTTAAAATATTTGTTTGATTTCAAATGCTTTTGATCGCTAATGAAAATACTCACCTCTCCGCCGGCTTCCGGGAGTCCCGTCGGAGATCCGGTGACGTCACGGACATAGACGTCACCGGACTCCTTCCCCAAGTGGCTCCGTTGACTAACGAAGGGAAGGGGGCATGAGTCCGGTGACGTCGATGTCCGTGACGGCTAATGAAGGGAAGGGGGAGGAGTCCGGTGACGTCGATGTCCGTGACATCACCGGACTCCTCCCCCCTTCCCTTCGTTAGCCGACGGAGCTGTGGCCAGGCGTACATGGATAGCCATAGCAGCACAGGCAAGTATTATGGGGG